TACATACACACTAAAAAGTCCCATAATAAAATGATAGCAATGATAATGATAATTGAGTGGAGTATGGAACGCGACAGGCCCAGCGCCCCCGCAAACCCGCAATACTTGGAACCTTTCAATTGCAGATCCTTAGCCGGGGCAAACATTCACCCAACAGTGACCTGTTAGCTTGACCCCATGAATCTAAGCTAACTAGCCCACACGAATTACTTAAAACAAAATCACCCAACCTCTCTCTCCACCACAATACAAGATCTCATAGGTCGGTCAGCTAACTCCAGGTAACCGAATCATCCCCACCCTCATAGGCGTTTCCACATCCCAAAACGCCACCGTGCTTTCTGTTCTGTTTTGTCTCCCTCCCCTAACATTTTTCCGCCGTCTATCTCTGCAACCGTCTAAAAAAACAAAACACACTCTGAATATTTCCGAGAAATGCGGCCAAAAATGAAAGGCAAAGCATGGGTCTGCCCATGGTGAACCATCATCATGATACATCACGCCTATATCCCATACCTCATCAGGATAGCATTATGTTATGGCCCTGACGCTGACATAGTAGCGCCTAAGAACGCGAATCGAGGAACCGTCGGCTGCGTATAAATATGGCGACGGCTTCTCTGTTTCAAGCTGGTTGTTGTGGCGCTTATACGCCAAGATTTAGTAATAGATTCAATTCTAGCTCCAAAAATGGAGGTTATGGTGCTGTAGGTCCGTCTTCTTCTTCGTCTTCGTGCTCGTGTTCATCATCATCATCATCATCGTCATCATCATCTTCTTCTTCTTCTTCTTCTCAGAGTTTGAATTTCTCTTCTGGTAATGGTATGATCTATTGCTTTCTGTTTCTATTTCGGTTTTCCTGTATCTCAATTTGCTCGTATGAATGCTTCTTGGTTTCGAATTAACAGTTTGATTCTCTAGCCCTGGATGTGAGGTGGAGCATTGGAAATTGTTAATTTCAGTACTTGTGAGTCGAAGAAAAATCTGGATTTTTGATAAATTATAGATGGACTTTGGGAAGAACGATATCAAAGAGATCTATGCAGTATGATTGTATCTTTGTGATTAGATGATTCGGACTTATGGAATTAATTTCTAGGGGAAATAGTAGAAACCATAAGGAACTTTTCAACTTTTATTTAGAAGAAAAGAGAAAGGAAGGATAGGAAAGGTTTTGATTTCTTACTTTCAGGTGAATGTAGGTGTATTATGTATGCGGAATGTAGGATTCCATTAATGCATTCTGCAGTGTTAATGAATTTCTTAGATTTAGACTCAGTATGCAAGCTTTTTCTCTTTTCTGGTACTGCACCAAATTTGTAAAAGTTGAGGTCTTGGGGGGACGGGAAGGGGATGGGGAATAAAGATTTTTGAACTTTTGGGAGGGCTATTTCAAAAGCAATATTAATTGGTGTTGTATGTGGGTTGCCGTGAGAATAGATGGATTTCTGGTTGTCTTGGCTTGGTTAAACAGGTCCAACAGTCAACAACGACAGAATAACAGCCGTCAGCCAACTCTTACTGCCAACAACCCTTGCCATCATTCCCAGCTGACTCTTTTATTTCATAACTGGATCTCATTGTGTGGCAAAAGATTTTCCCAAACTCTGCTATTCTGATTCTTGTTTTTCCCTTCTAACACTTCCTCCCACCCTTTCTTGTATTCTATTTTACCATTATTCTTGTCGTCCTACTTTTTTTTAGCTGTTTTACATCAAGTTGACTTTGTGCAATAGCATTATGCTCTTGTTTCTTCTTGTTTTTGTTGTTATTATATTTCCTTTCTCTGTTTTCCTAAGCATGTTGGAACTTATACAGGGATAAATTATAGTTGGAAGCATCAAGGCTTTAGAGCTATGAGTATCACCACTCAGGGAAGCTTTGGATCATCCAAGAACATTGCAAATGGAAAAAATGAGCCCGATCATCTTCTTGTTCTTGTTCATGGAATTTTGGCTAGGTATTAGTTGATCAAGTACTATTTATTTATATGAATGACTTAGAAAATAAGTAACAAGCAAAGTCAAAGATGCCAAATAAATTTTTTTTTTGAATATCTCACTGAGGTAAGTTTGAATTTATTGTGTTTTACTTCAGCTCTCTTTCTCAAATGATGTCAAATTGACCTAAGAATTCTCTTAATGTAGCCCCAGTGATTGGACATATGTGGAGGCAGAGTTGAAAAGGCGCCTTGGGAGAAACTTCTTGATATATGGTATGTAGCGTAAAAAACTTAGTAAGCATAAAGTTGCTCTCTTTTTGAAAAATGGTGTTTTCATTATCATGGTGATGAGACTAAATTAATAGTGTCAAGATCAGGACTTTACATTCTGCACTCTAAGTCCCAAAGTGTTGTTTGATAAGGTCTCTATATGTGAGGTTTTGATTCTTGGCCTTTTGTCCTGCAGCAAGTTCATGTAACACCTATACTAAAACCTTTGCTGGGATTGATGGAGCTGGAAAGAGATTGGCAGATGAAGTGAGTCCTGGGTTGCGTTTTGAAATATAGTTTTGCCTTTCCTTGAAATAATTTAATGAGCTGCATAATTGAGATAATTTTTTTTTTTTGTTTCCCTTTTACACAGGTTATGCAAGTTGTAAAGAGAACTGAGAGTCTCAAAAGGATTTCATTTTTAGCCCATTCTCTGGGGGGCTTGTTTGCGAGATATGCCACTGCTGTTCTTTACTCACCAAACAACTCAAGTGGAACTCAATCTGATGGTGTTGCTGATTCTATTGGAAATTCGGAAATGTCATCCCCTTCCAGACGAGGTACGATTGCTGGGCTGGAGCCAATCAACTTTATTACCTTGGCAACTCCTCATCTTGGGGTGAGAGGGAGAAAGCAGGTTTGTTCTGTAGAGTTTCCAATTATTTTTATCTTTTTAAATACATAATAGTTAACCACAAATTTCAGTCTCTCGTTCTTATTTTACTTGAATTAATTTACAGACTTAATTTATCAAAATTATTTAGCACGTGTCTATGTTTACAATGTTGCATATTGTAGCACATCATTATCTTTCTGTCCACAGTGCAGAGGATAAAGCTATATACTTACTGCCCTCCATAATTGCATTTTACCATATAGGATGGAGAAAATTTGGTAAATACATTTTAAATTGGAATTCTCTGCAGAAACAATAACCATTTTGATGTGAACAAAGATCCTCTTTGTATGTTTGTCATCTGAAGCATCTCATTCTTTCTTTTTATTGTTTTAAATTGTTTGTTTTTCTCATTTGGTAATTGAACAATCAATCTTGTCAAATATGTTTGCGTCTAGATGTTCCTACTTAGACTTTATACTTGCAAGCTTCTCTGTCATAATGGAATCAAGAAAGTTTAAAAATAATGCTGACTTCTGAGATCCATAATGGAGCTCTTTATGTAATGATTGAAATCAGTGACAGAAAGTCTATTTAATTGCAAAAATGAGATTGATACAAGAAAGATATGATTAAGAATATAATTTTGTTACTGCTGCATTCTGTTTTCTTATATGGCAGAGCTTTCAAAATAGTGACAACATTATATATTTGTCATTAGCCTAATGTTATAATATTTGATATTTTGAAGATTGTAAAGTTATAACATAGTTGGTAACTTAATGGGTCCACTCTGTACAATCACAGCAAAACACATACAAGTTACATCTGCAGTGGTTAGAAGGTTTTATACTTTTAAGGCAATTTCTTTTTGGTTAATACTTTTGTAACGGTTAAGCTTATGCTTTTGTGATAATTCTTGTTTCCTTTCTCATAGCATATATATTTATTATGTTTTTCCTTTTGGTGACTTTTATCTGAGTATCCGTGGGGAACCAAAATCAGACAGCTTTATGTGTTAATTGTTAAAATTTCATGTGACATCCAGTTATTCCTGGATTGTTCCTGAATCTAATTTGAGAAAGTGTATGCATTTAATTTTTTAAGTAGTACTTATAGTGATTAGTCCCACTACTTTCTTTCTCCCTACACATCTTCCATTTGTTTTGCTTCTTTCTTTCTTTTTATTCTTTTTTTTTTTTTTTCCTGATTATGCTTCAGCTTCCATTTCTTTTTGGAGTTCCCTTTTTGGAGAAACTTGCCCCATCTCTTGCTGCTCTTTTTGTTGGTCGCACTGGTAGTCAATTATTTCTCACTGATGGTAAACCTAACAAACCGCCACTGTTGTTGAGAATGGCATCTGATTCTGAAGATGGAAAATTTTTGTAAGTAAAGGAGGCTTTTACAGTTACTGAAGCCGCTATCTTCTTTCCTAACTGATCTTATGGTTGCAGTATGTTTTATCTGCAGATCTGCTCTTGGTGCATTTAGATGCCGCATTGTCTATGCAAATGTATCTTACGATCGTATCCTTCTGCATTATTTCTACTTGGGTCTACTTTTACTCCCTCCTTGTTAGTCCAATCTTCTCTATTTTTTAAGTTTCTTTGACGTCAAATAGATATGGTTGGTTGGCGCACCTCCTCCATCAGAAGAGAGACAGAACTTGTTAAGGTAAGTTTGCAAGTTTCTCCTTTTCATCTGTATAAAAAGCTGAATCAACCCCCTGTTATTGAAATGACACATTATTTAAGATGAATGAAAAACAAAGGTAAATAAAGTTGACGAATGCTATACCCTTGGCTCTAAGTTCAACTTCTAAACAAACACCTCTACTAGAAATTTGTTTACTCTGCTTGGTAGTTGGTGTTGGGATTTCTTTTCAGTTGATGAAATTAAAGTACTGGATGGAGAGAGATATATCCTTTGAGTTTTGCAGACTTCTGATGTTTGCTGCTCAATTGCAGCCTCCACACCGATCTCTGGATGGTTACAAGCATGTTGTGGATGTGGAATACTGCTCACCAGTTTCTTCTGATGGCCCCCATTTTCCTCCAGAAGCAGTCAAAGCAAAGGAGGCAGCACAAAATGCACCTAACACACGGAACGCTATAGAATATCATGAACTCATGGAAGGTAAACTGTCTCAACTCTCAATAGCACTGACGTTATATTGGGCATGGTGATTTTTCAGTGACATCAAAAACGAAAAAACTGAGTAGTAATCTTTTCTGTTGACTAACAGAGGAAATGATTCGAGGCTTACAGAAGTTAGGATGGAAAAAAGTGGATGTCAGCTTCCATTCGGCATTATGGCCCTTCTTTGCTCATAACAATATACATGTACTAACTCCATTTCTAGTTCTTATTTTGGAAATGATTTCTGCTCCGTTTCAATCTTTACTTAGTTGTTATGCCTCTTTCAGGTGAAAACTGAGTGGCTTCACAAATCTGGTACTGGAGTAGTTGCTCATGTTGCAGACAGCCTAAAGCAACAGGAGTCATCTTCTCCATATATTTCTGCTAGCTTGTAGCCACAAATTGAATGTAAGCACGAGATGCCCGAATCAGTTGTAAAATTAATGTTATATATACTGACTTTCTTTTTGGCAAATCTTTTATCTATATGCAAGATCAAATGAATAAATTGCAATATCTATTGCAATTTATTGTTAGACCCAAGGGCAAAGTGACACTGTGCTGGCTGCTGGGATGAAATGCTCTTTTCTTTTGGTAATCATGGTACAATCTTAGAGAAGAGTAATTATGATTGATGCTTTTTCCGTAATAGGATTTATAAATCAATTTGCATAGCCCCTATTGTCAAGAAGTCTCTCACCTACTAGGTTAAATTGTACACTTTGATGTAATTTAAATTTTATAATATTTTTTTAATTATTTGCTACCATAAAAGAAAAAAAAAAAAAACACACGAAATTATAGCAAGTGGAGTAACTTTTAAATCAAATTAAATGCTGACCGTCTCTTATACAAAAAAAATTTTTTTTGAAATAATTTTTTTATTTACTTTTTAATATAACTTAATATGTTATTTAAATAATTAATTTTATTTATTTATGTGAAATTTATGATATTAAATATATTTATTTATTTAATAATATATAAAAATTATATCAAAAATAAAATAAAAATTATTCTTATAATATTGTTTAACAAAAAAGAATTAAAAAAAAAAAGAGTACTGACCTGTCCTTATCGTTCACTTTTTTCTTTTGTTGGGTATCATTGGCTTTCCTATTCTACACCCAGCGTAGGCTTTCCAATTCCAAAGCTTTTCTTAACAAAGAAGGAAAAAAAAGGTGGTTTTTTTTTAATATGAACTTTAAAAAGATTAAAGTTGTAATTATTATATTTTTAGTATTAAGTAATATTAAAAATATAAAAACTGTTCATGAATTTTGTTACTAGTGACAAATATATTATTTTGATTAATTAATGACTTAAATTAAAATTAATTTTTTAATACTAATTAATATAAAAATATATAATAATTATATTGAAAAATCCAAAAAAAAGAAGAAGAGATTTTCCAACGCATTACGACATCGTTTCCGCCATCCACGGACATCGTAATTTACGCTTCACAGTCCAGGGTCCCGCGTGGGCATTGGTTCTCCTCCTGGGTCCAAATGGTGGCAGCGTGCCCGCCGGCCCATTTTGTACAAGTGTACTTTAGTCCACCCCCCAACTGGACCACTGGTCCTTCTAATCCCGAGTCTCAGCCTACCATAAACCAGAGATCAGAGGACTTTTCGCTGTCACCGTGAGAGCATCTTCTTCTCCGCCTAGAGAGAGAGAGAGAAAAAAAACTGGTGTAGCTTCAACACTACTTCACTAGACAGAGAAAGCGTTTAACAGACTGTGATCGGCTATGGATTTCTCCAAAGAACGAGAGAACTTCGTCTACATCGCCAAGCTCGCTGAGCAAGCCGAGCGCTATGACGGTCTGTCCCCTCTCTCTCACTCTCTTTTTTTCTCTGTTTTCTGTTTGGTTCATGAGAAAACGCAAGAAAATTGATGGAACTCTGTTATCCCCTTTCTGCTTTCATCCTTTGTTTTGATTGATAAGAATATTCTGCATTTGCTTCTTCTTCTTCTTCTTTTTTTTTTTTTCCCTTCTGTTTTAAAAAATCGAAGTTTCAACTTGGGGAATCAATGATTCTCTACACTGTTCAGTTCGGTAAGGTATTGAGATCTACAATTTAATATGTATTTTCTTCGCCTCAGCAGCCAAACAATTGCTCAGTGTTTGGTCCTTTTTTTTTTTTTGGATTGATTTCGAAGTTGAAATTACCGCAGAAATGGTTGATGCTATGAAGAAAGTGGCGAAGCTTGATGTAGAACTAACAGTGGAGGAGCGAAATCTTCTCTCTGTTGGGTACAAAAACGTGGTGGGTTCGCGACGTGCGTCGTGGAGGATCTTATCCTCAATTGAGCAAAAGGAGGAGACAAAGGGGAACGATCTGAACGTTAAGCGAATTAAAGGGTACAGGCAGAAGGTGGAGTCGGAGTTGTCAAGTATTTGCGGTGACATCATGAGTGTGATTGATGAGCATCTCATTCCCTCGTGCATGGGCGGGGAATCTACTGTTTTTTATTACAAAATGTTAGTGGGTTCTTTTTTTCTTATTGTGTTTTGGGTTTGTGAAATTGGATGCTGTAGTGTTGATTGGAGATTTTGAGGATTTTTTTACTTATGTTGCAGGAAAGGGGATTATTTTAGATATTTGGCTGAGTTTAAGGCGGGTGATGAAAGAAAAGAGGCTGCGGACCAGTCAATGAAAGCATATCAGGTGCGTCTGGGTGGTTACTGCCCTTTTCTTTTGTTAATTGTCTGTGTTTCTTAAGTTCTGAAAGGAAAGAAAAATAATCACTTAAAAGTTCAAGATGGTCTGGTGAGTGACGACCTAGTTTATTTGCAATTTAGTGTATGGCTTAAATGAAATTTGTAATTTTGTATGGAGAAATTTTATATTGTTATGATCATTTGAACAAGTGGAGGAATAACCATGTGCTTATAATTTTTACTTCCCTTTAAACTTTGAGATCCTTCTGGTGAAAGGTACTCTTATGTATTGTGATGTTATCTCTTTGCTCCATTTGATGGATCACACAACAAATAGGAATTTAGGAAGGGGGGGAAAGTGGATGAGAAAGCTGATTTTGCATTCTTTTTAAAAGAGAATTCACATTTTTTTTATGTTATTTCCACTCAGACAGCATCTACTACAGCAGAAGCTGAGTTACCTCCTACTCATCCAATCCGATTGGGTTTGGCATTGAACTTCTCTGTCTTTTATTATGAGATCTTGAATTCTCCTGAAAGGTATACATATGAAAATCTTTGTTACACTCTAATTTGTGACCTATTTGGAAATCATGTTGCATGGTATGCTTAAACTTCAGGGCATGTCACCTCGCAAAACAAGCTTTTGATGAGGCAATCTCAGAGCTGGATACATTGAGTGAGGAGTCATATAAAGATAGCACGCTGATTATGCAGCTCTTAAGGGACAACCTCACTTTATGGACTTCTGACATCCCAGAAGATGGAGGTAAATCTTAAAATTACCTCTAGGGAGAATAGTTTAACTAGTCTTTCAACTCTTGTCTCTACTCTAAGTCCACTTTTAATCAAGCTACATGAGAAGTAACTATTTTAACTTTTGCCTTGTTGACATTTGGTTGGCTCCTTTTTCTCCGTCCTTCTTGATAATTTCTTTCTGTTAGTTGTCAACAATCAATGTTCTTTTTTATTTTTAACAAACAAGTGGGTCCTTGCTGGTCCATGTTTTGTAGACTTCAAAGTTCAAGCACTTCTTATATTGAGATATTGGAAAGAAGTAACTTAATTTACTTCATCTGTTTAATCTTTGGTCGGCTCTTAATATTTGCACCCTTTTTTTAAGTAGTATTCAGTGTGTTATTTACTCTCTCTTTCCTAAAAATATTGCTGGTTCATATTCTCTAATTTTTGTGCAATTTAAGACTTGGTTTCTCCTTTTGGAGTTGTTTACCGTTACTGGCACACTGAATGTTGGGTACTATTTTTTATGCTTTTTTCATTTTTCAATTTGAGTCTGGCATGAAGTGTTTGGTTCAGTAATCAAGAGAAGAGAGAAAACTACAAGCACTGTATTTCGTTGAGTAGACTTAAAAGTTAAAAGCCTATAATCCTCTTATTAGAATTCATGTAATGTGGGTGTATTTAATCAATAGCACTCAAATATTTGTTCTACAGAGGAATGATGTGGAGTCACTTACCAAAGTTATGGCTACTTTAATCATCAAAGTGGTTTAAACCAGTTTTGCCCCTGAACTAATGTTGCCTATAATATTTTTGTGGGGTGTTTTAATTGTATTCGTTTGCTTTAGTGTCAGCCTTTTCCAAACATGCAAATCATCTTTGATAATGATGATAGAATAGAGTCTGTGATGGCATCCTCATTCTACAACTAGCATAATTTGGGAACTTGTAAGTAGTATTGGTTAGCTCAGAATTGCAAGTATTAATTGATGAGTACAGTTGCATATGAAAGGGTGGTGAACATGCTATTAACAACCCATTTTGTTTCTTCATGATTTTTCTACTCTACGGTCACTGTTTGAGAATTGTATTTTATATATTGTTTCACTTTCTTATTTTCGCCATCCTTGGGATGTGGCTTTCCTGGAATAATTGCATGATTCTCATTGATAAACCAAGGTTCATAAAATGTTTTCTTACTACTGTCTTACCCCAGCCGAAGAAGCTCAGAAACTGGAAAGCAATGCTAAATCTGGTGAAGGAGAAGAGTGACGATGGCAGAGGTGGGTTAGTTTCAGAAAATTCATCCATTACCAAGCTGTGTCTTATGGATCATTAGTTTTACAGTTCCTTCTTCTGTAGTGTGTTTGTCACATTGGCTTGAACTTGAAGTCTGTTTCAAAGGCAGTAGTACCTCTGTATCAGTAGGTTTTACATCAGTTTTCGGGTGATATTTGATTTCTATCGTCCTGTTATTAGCATTTGGGTGTTATTGCTATGATGATTGTTTGGTGTTTGGACTGTCTACTACAAGGAAATTTTCTAGAGCCTGTCCTCTGCACCTTTTGGTCAAATTGGAAAGATGTATTAGATTGCTGGAGAATGTTTTCCCTGCTCTGTTTATTGAAATCTGAATCCATTTAGATAGTTTGTTTTGTATCAGATTATCTTTTGTTATCTTGTTTGTAGTATCATTTCAAAATCGACATAAAATTTCCATGGAAGGGCCTGTCCTACCGGAAATCCGGAATTGCCAAACGAGGGTTGGGAAATGGATGGAAAATAACATCTCTGTATTTTTCTCTCCTCCCTTTCCGTCCGTTTCCTCAAATCAAACAGGAGTTGAGGTCAAAATCTTCAAATTAAAATATCTTTTGAAAATTGGAGACTGGAGAGATGTAGAGATCAATATAATTGTTGTATCCCCAAGCAGAAAAAAGGATGAAGAATTAAGAACTTCACACTCACAACCGCTCCATCCAAGCCCAAAAATGACTATAAACTTTTCCCATGTTAAATTGAACAATATATAACATGTAAATCCAATCTCCATACAAAGGAAAACAGAAACAGGAATAACGCCAAAATCTCCCACAATGTATAACATGTAAATCTAATCTCCATACAAAGGAAAACAGAAACAGGAATAACGGCAAAATCTCCCACTCGCAGTGCCATAATCTCTCTCGTCTCAGCCCATCGCTTTCCGCCCTCCGCCGTTGCCGAAGACAATCCGAATGCACGCTTCTACGTCGAGGGCGAGGTGTACGACGACCCCTGCCGCGTCCAATTCGTCACTCGAATCAGCGATTACATGTCAGGTATATATACAAATTATACAGATCGTCTTCGAATCATGCTTTTGATTTTCTTGATTTCGATTTTGAATTATTGTGATCTTTGGAAGCGACCGTAAAGGTACGCTTGGAGTGCAGAGACCGGCAAGGCGAGAACACAACTTACTCCGTCGACGGCTAGACGGATAAATTAGGCACCTACGTCCTCACCATCGACGGAGAGCAGGAGGATGAAGTGTGCGAGATCGCGCTTGTCGAATCCAGCAACAGTGTGTGCTCCGAAATCAACAAAGACGCTTTCCTGAGGAGGAGCGCTGGGATTAGCCTCACCACCAATAATGGCATCATTAGTCCAGTTCGCGCCGCCAATCCGCTCGGCTTCATGAGGAAGACTCCTCTTCCTCTCTGCACGGATATGAAGTCCTCAGAGAACTCGGTATGACCCCCGACGATCTCATCTTTTAAACTCCAATTAATGGCTTCATAGACTTGCTTCCATGCTTTGGAGTATAAACTGAGCTTTTAGCTCCGTTTATTAAAAATATATATATATTGTCATGTTACTGTGCTTTTTGTTTCCACAAATTCGAATGAATTAATGCATATAAGATTCTTTTTATGGGCCGCTGTTGTTTCTTTAACAAAAATGCTGTAATTAGAAAAGCTTACAACAAAATGTTTTATTATAAGTTGACTCCTCTTATTTAGAGTAGAATAAGATATATATTGTGATAATAAATTAATTTTTATTCAAAAGTTATTATATTAATTCAATATTATATCATAAATTTATAATCTTACGTTATAACAATAATATTATCATTTTTTATAATTGGTTGAAACTTTTTTAACTTTTCTTTAAAAAAGACCTACATAAAGAAAAAAAAAATCTATCATTAAAATAAAAAGGATTAATCATGGTCATATATGATTGATGAGATTTTAGTTGAAATACATATTACATCTTAAAATAATGATAATTGGGGTTGAAAATTTAAAATGAAAATTTGAGACCAATAATATAGTGTCTAGTATGTCATTAAATTAATTTATGTGTATAATATTATGAGTTTAAAAAAGTAAAAAAAATTAATTATTAAATAATACATAATTACTTTTTAATATTTTAAATATCATCACTTA